CCTTTGCTCTGGCCCAGAGCTGCCTTCTCACGCTGCCCAAAGGCTTGGAGCAGCTGGGGTGGTGCAGAACACCCCCTGGCCACTTGGTGCCTGCATATGCAAATCAACACACCATCTTTGTTGGGTTAATTTGCATACTCACTCCTGACTTGCTGGTGGGCATCATGAAGGTACGGTCAATTAGCATGTTACTCTTTAATTAAGTAATTCATTTTGATCTACACCTGAGTTTGTTAATAAGGTGACTTTCAGAAAACCTTTTAGAATGGGTGTTAATAGGGGGACCAACCTTGTGATAAGATGCTATCTGTATCCCCCTCTTCCCCACCTATCAAGAGAGCAGAGGGGCAAGAGGTTGAGTTAATCACTAATAGCATGGTTCAGTCAATCATGTAATAAAGCCTCCATAGAAAACCCCAGCTGAATGATTTGATAGAGCTTGCTATGTATTTTTTCATCTGGCTGTTCATTTATATCCTTTAAAGTATATTTGTTGTTGTTGTTGTTGTTTTTTGCCCAGCCAGTATGGGTCAGTAGTTGAGTGTTGACCCTTGACCAGGAGGTCACAGATTTAAATTCCCGTTAAGAGTGCATGCTCAGTTTGCCGGCACAATCCTCAGTAGGGGGTGTGCAGGAGGAAGCCAATCAGTGATTCTCTCTCATCATTGATGTTTTTCTCTCTCTCTCTGTCTCTCTGTCTCTTTCTTTCTCTCTCTCTCTCTCTCTCTCTCTCTCTCTTTCTCTCTCTCTCTCTCTCTCTCTCTCCCTTCCTCTTTCTGAAATCAATAAACATATGCACACACACACACACACACATGCATTTTTAATAAATCAATAATAGTAAGTAGAGGACATTTCTGAGTTTGGCGAGCTGTCCTAGCAAATCATCATACCCAAAAAGGAGGTTTTATCAACCTCCAATTATAGCCAGTTGGTCAAAAACACAGACAACCTAGACTTGCAATTGCTGGCTGATGTGGGGGCCAGCCTTGTGGGACTGAGCAGGTACTGACTAACTGCCTGCTGGTGAAACAAACAAAATAAATATAAATGTTGTGGCCAGAAGTGTCCTATGAGCAGTGCAATAGAGAAAAACAGAAATGTTTTCCTTCTATTACGTAAATAATAAAGATATTTGATAGATAGTGGTAAAAGTTTGACAATACTCAAAGTTTAGGGATACATGTCTCTCTACCACACAAAATCGCCAAGTTGTATTAAAAAAAAAAAAGTAAATATTATAAAGATCTAAAACAACTTAAACATAGATCTGGAATGAGATTATACTCACAAAAATTATTACTCGAATACTAGCATAATAATTCACTTTAGATAAATTTGCTTCATCCGGCATAATAATATAATATATAATTAAACATTAAAATAATTTTCTCATTCTATAATGTACTCAGTTTCACTGTGAAAATTGAAAAATGAGATCCTCTATTCCAAATAGAGAGAAAATCTTAATAAAAATTTTATATCAAAGAGAAGTACAGACCAATATCCTTGATGAACATACATGCAGAAATTAACAATAAAATATTATCAAAATAGATTCAACGATACAATAAAAGGACTATACAGCATGACCAAGTGGGATTTATCCCAAGGATGTAAGAATGGCTCAACATCTGTAAATCAATCAAGAGGACTGATTTACAGATTTACATTGATTTACATTAACAAAATAGAGAATAAAAACCATATGATCACCTCAATAGATGCAAAAAAAGCATTTGACAAAATTCAAGATCCTCTATTATAAAACAACTCAACAAAGTATAAAAGAAACATATCTCAACATAATAAATGCTCTACATGGCAAACCCATACCTAATATAGTCAATGGTAAATAGCTAAAAGTTTTTCCTCTATTATTAGAAACAAGAAAAGGTTGCCCACTATCACCACTTACACTCAAAACAGTTTTGAAAGTCCTGGACACAGCAGACAAAACAACAAAAAAGAAATCAAAGGCATACAAACTGGAAAAGAGGAAGTAACACTCTCATTATTTGTAGATGATGTGATACTATATAGAAAAACCCTAAAGACTCCACCAAAAAACTAGTCAAACTAATAAATAAATTCAATAAAGTTTCAAAACACAGATACCTATTGCATTTCTATACAACAATAACAATCAGAAGAAAAAAAATTAAGAAAACTATCTAATTTATAAACATAAAATACCTAAGAATAAATTTAACCAAAGAGGTGAAAGATCAGTACTCTGAAAACTATAAGACACTGAAGAAAGAAATTAAAGAAATACAAATAAATAAAAAGATATATCTTGCTCATAGATGGGTGGGCTAATATTGTTAAAATGTCCTTACTACCTAAACAAATATATACCAATATCCCTGTTAATATGCCAATGGCATTCTTCTCAGATTAGAACAACTAATCCTAAAATTTATATGGAACCACAAAACACCCCAATAGCCAAAAACTTTTTTTTTTATTCTTGAAATTTTAATGTTCTGTATGGTTGGATGTTTTCCATTAAAGTTCTCAATTCAGCATCACATTGTAATGCAGTGGTAGATGTCATACTCCTCAGCATATGCCTAGAAACGTGCCCCTTTCAAGGTTCCAAGCTGCGCATCTTGGCTTACTCAGCATTGCAGAGGAATAGGAGAGCTATTCAGTTTTGTTGATATGCTTTGTTCGCTCAGACTTTTATGTTGAATTATAACTCTCTAAAATGTTTAATTTCTGTGGAGAGCAGCTACAGCGTTTGGACAGGTTCAAGCCTGAGACTAATGCCAAAGACATTTGGAAAAAGAACAAAATAGGAGATATTAAAATCTATGACATAAAAACTATACTACAAAGCTAGAATAATTAAAATGGCATCATACTGGTATAAAAACAGATATATAGATCAATGAAATAGAACAGAAAGCCCAAAAATAAATCCTTGCTTATATGGTCAAATAATCTACAACAAAGGTGGCAAGGATACACAATTAAAGATCATCTCTTTAATAAGTAGTGTTGGAAAATCAGAACAAACACATGCAAAAAAAAAAAAAAATTGGGCCACTTTCTTACACCATATTAAAAAAAAACAAACATAAAAACTCAAAATAGATTAGACTTAAATGTAAGACCTGAAACCATAAAACAAAGAAAACATAGCTAGTAATCTTTTTGACATCCCTCTTAGCAATATCTTATGTCTCCTTAGGCAGGAGTAGCAAAAGAAAAATATAAACAAACGGGAACTCCAGCAAACTAAAAAAGTTTTGCACAGCAAAGAAAAGCATCAACAAAATGAAAAATCAACCTACTGAATGGAAGAAAATATTTGCATATTATATATCTAATAAAGGGTTTATATCCAAAAAACATAAGGAACTCATACAACTAAACATCAAAAAAATAAACAATCTAATTTTAAAAATAGACAGAGAATATGAGTAGACATTTCTCTAAAAAGACATATAGACAACTTACACACATATTAAAAGATGCTCAACATCACTAATCATCAAGGCAATGCAAATTAAAACCACTGCAAGATATCTCATACCAGTCAGAATGGCTATCATTAATAAATCCACAAATAACAAATGCTGGCGAGGATGTGGAAAAACGGGAAGTGTCATACACTGTGTGGGATTGTAAATTACTGTGGTATGCAATAGGCTTATATGCATGCATATAAGCATAACCAACAGACACAGACACTGGGGAGTTGAGTGGAAGGGGGAAGGTCAATGGGAGGAAAAGGAGACATACGTAATACTATATGTAAGACTTCGAGCAATACAAAGAAATTACTGCAGTATAAAAACAGTCTGGAGATTCCTGTTTAAAATTTAATTTAAAATATTAAAAATAGAGCCTGGCCAGCATGGGTTGTGGGCTCAATCCCCAGTGTGAGGTGTGCAGGAGGCAGTCAAACAATGATTCTCTCTCATCATTGATGTTTCTATCTCTTTCTCCCTCTCCCTTCCTCTCTGAAATCAATAAAAATATAATCTTTAAAAAAAAAAAATAGTTGCTACTATCCAGGAATTCCATTTCTGGATATTTATCCAAAGATAACAAAAATACTGATTTGAAAAGGCACATGCACCCCTATTCATTTCAGCATTACCAGTACTAGCCAAGATATGGAAGCACCCTAGGCGTCCATTGATGATGAATGGATAAAGATTTGGTATATATGTATTATTCAGCAATAAAAAAAAGAATGAAACCTTGCCATTTGTGACAACATAGACGGACCAAGAGGATGTTATGCTAAATGAGATAAGTCATACAGAGAAAGATAAATACTGTATGATTTCACTTATATGTGGACTCTACAAAAACAAAACAAATGAATAAACAAAACAAGACAGAAACAGACCCATAGATGTAGAGAACAAGATGATGGTTGCCAAAGAGAAGACTAGGGTAGTGGTGGTAGGGGTGGAGGGGGTGGTGATGAATGGAAGACGGGAATCAAAAAAATTAACTCTATATCTGATCTTTTCACATAGTTTTTAAGTAAACATATAATCATCTAGCCTAAGTTGCCTTCCAGAGCACAGTAATTTTGGGAGAAAATAATATCAGCAATATAAAAAAATATATATCAGTGTTTTTTAAGCTGCATTCTGCAGAGCTCAATGAATGTTCTTCAAAGGTATGCCTTTTTTAGCTATGGGATAGGCTGGAATTCCATTTACTTATTATTCTCTTCCCTCTAACTTTAGTTCTTTCCCCACCCCACCCCTTCAAAAAGATAAATAACATTTTTTACTTTTTTGCATAATGAAGTTTTGCTAAAGATTTTCTTTGGGGAAAAAGTGCCACCACTAAAATCAAATAAACTATCTAAACCATATAATTTAAAATTTTAGATAGTTAATCACTGTTAGTAAGTTAATGATTCAACAAGATTTTTATTTGATTTTGATATTTATATATAACTTAAAGCAATGTTATTAACAATGAAACTTTTCATTTCAGATTAACAAAAAAAGTAAACACCTTACCTAGAATGACTAGATGATGAAGGTGGTGGTAAGTCTGGTGTAAGAACATAGAGACAGTTGTTTTTTGGCAAATGTAGTGATTTTAAGACCGTCTGAAAAAGGAAAAAGCAAAAATGCCTGTTAATTGTGAAGTGTTAATTTTTTCCTATAGCTCTTGAAAAACTGTCAATATTGTAGTTTGACTTTTCTTCTTTTGACAATTTCCTAATAGGATAATGCAGAACTACTGAACCCAAATAACCTTGTTCCTCCCATGCATATCATAAATTAGCATGAATATGAACGTTAAAATAAAATACAAATTCTTAAATCATGAAGTAATATAAATAGATAAGAACACAGTTAAGCTCATTGATGTCTTCATTAAAGAAGTATATCCTTGCAACTAATATGCATTTCATTCCTGGATCTTTACAGCAAAGATTAGCAGTGTAGGTTTCCGAGATGATTAGGCCTAGAAAAGATGAGCAAAAATCAACCTGAGGAGCCACAGCCTGAGAGCTGAAGTGATTGGATGAAATCTTTTATTAAGTGTTATTTATGTCACTTAGTTCACTTAACTCTTACTTCAGAAAATTTTGGTTAAAGCACTCTGTCTGAAAGAATAAATTGTTCTTGGGCTACATTTCACCTACTATCTTGATAATCATACAAAATTTCACTAAATTTCTTTGCCATAAAACTGCATGCCTTTCAAACTCACATCTTGATGACAAATACCTGCTAATGTACTTCAAACATTTTTGACAGCAATACAATTAAGAAACAAATTTTACATCTTTACATCATAACCCAGGACATACATTTATTCAACAGATATTATTGAGTTGCCTATTCTGTGCCACACCTATTTTAAACATTGAGAATATAGCAGTGGATAGGATAGTCTAACACCCTTGATCTTAGAGAGCTTACACTTTAATTCAGAGGCAGTGAACCTTTTTTTTCTGCCAAGGGCAATTTGGATATTTATGACCTCATTTGCGGGCCATATAAAATTCTCAACTTAAAAATACAGCCTACTATATTTGGTCAAACATTTAATTATTAGGTCTAGTAATAATTAATGTCGTTTTCTAATACTTTTTTAAATCGAATTTATTTAAACAATACAACAAAATTTAATCAACAATATAGTTGCCGTTGTTTTCTACTACTTGTGCCCAACGCTCAGGAAGCATTTTAATCCCTCTGTTGTAAAATTCTTGTGATTTCGATGTAAAAAATTCGGTCAATGCATTTTTGAGGCATTCTTCATTATTAAATTTTTTTCCAAGAAGAAAGTTTTGCAAAGAACGAAACAAATGGTAATCGGAAGGGGCAATATCAGGAGAATATGCAGGTTGAGGGAGAACTTCCCATTCCAACTGGCGCAGTTTTTCAGCAGTGATTCTTGCAGTATGCGGTCGTGCGTTATCGTGGTGAAGAATTACGCCCTTCCGATTAATCAGCGCGGGTTCTTTTTCTCTTAAAGCTTGGGCTAACCTTTCCAATTGGGCACTATACACTGCACTTGTAATGGTTTGGTTAGATGGTAAAAGTTCATAATGAAGAATTCCTTTAAAATTTCACCAAACACACAACATCACTTTTTTCGCATGCAAGTCAGGTTTTGGCGTGGGCTGCGGAGCCTCATTTTTGTCTAACCATTGAGGCCGCCTTTTCAAATTAACATACAGCACCCATTCTTCATCTCTGGTAACAATTTGCTCTAAAAACGGCAAAGGTTTTGACGAGAGAGGAGCGAACTGCAAATTGACTCTTTGATTACGGTTGTTGTCGGTCAACTCATGAGGAACCCATTTTCCAAACTTTTGGACTTTGCCAAGTGCACGCAATTGATTGGAAATTGTTTTTTGTGAACAATTTAAAGTTGTCGCAAGCTCTTGTTGGGTAATTTGAGGATTTTGCACCAAAAGAGCTTGAAGAGCTTCTTGATCAAAATTGGACACACGGCCTCAACCACTCTTGTCATCTAACAAAAAATTTCCCTCGCGAAATTTCTCAAACCAACGCTGGCATTTTCTGGCGCTAACTGCATCTTGACCAAGAGCACTACAGATGTTTTTTGCAGCCTCACTTGCTTTTCTTCCTAATTGGAACTCGTAAAGCATGCAGTGCTGAATATGCTCTTCATCCGCCATCTTCTTAGCCCTAGTTTTGCAACAAAACCAAACCAAACACAAACTTTTTCAAGCAAAACTTGTTAATTGCACTTCACACGTTCTGTAGATACCACGTGTTTGAAGGTTATGTCAATACAAGTCAACGCCAAGCAAGATTTTAAACGAATGTTTAAAAACGACATTAATTATTACTAGACCCGATAACTCACTCCCTAATGCACTGGCAGGGCCAGACAAAATGATTTTGTGGCCCTTATATGGCCCATAGGTCAGACGTTCCCCACTCCTGCTTTAATAGGAATAAATAAAATACTAACTTATATAATTGAGTATTAGAAAGTGATCTCTTTTTTTTTTTCTGTTAAACACAAAGTAGGGAAGGAGGGGTGAAGAATATGGGGATGGGAGCTTATGTAACTTTGAACTGAGTGATCAGAGACCTTCTCATTTGAGTAAAAACCTGAAGGTATTCAGGAAACCATGAGAATATAGAGAAAAATACTTCAGGCAAAGGCAGCAGCTGGGCAAAATGCTTAGTAAAGAACAAGTAGTCCAATGTAACTGAAGCCAAATGAGCACTGATAGGAGACAGGTGAGAGAAATAAGAGACTTAGTAGGAACAGGAAATGTGTTGAGCCATTAAGGCTCATGTAAGGGTTCTGACTTTTACTCTGAATAAGATGGGAAGCTATTAAAGTGATATGACTGAATCATGTTTAAAAAGGATAACTTTGCCAAGGCTGGTGTGGCTCAGTGGATAGAGTGTCAGCCACAGACTGAAGAGTCTCAGATTCAATTCCATTCACGGGCATGTAATTTGGTTGCAGGCTCGATCCATCCCTGGCCCTAGTAGAAGTGCATGCGGGAGGCAAATACTCGATATGTCATATCGATGTTTCTCTCTGAGTGTGTCTTTCCCCCCCTTCCTTCTACTCTCTCTAAAAATCAAAGGAAAATATTCTCGGGTAAGGATTAACAAAAAATAAAAAGGATCACTTTGTCAGCTATGTTGAAAAGTAGATGGAAAAGATATTGAAAGAGGAGGGCAGAAGCACAGAGGAAGCTATCCTATATAATAAAACCCTAAAATGCAAATCGACACTCAATGCAGAATCTGCCCCCTGGTGGTCAGTGTGCTCCCACAGGGGGAGCGCTGCTGAGCCAGGCTCACTGCTGGCGAGCTCAGCAGCAGTGGCAGGAGGCTCTCGGGCCTCTGTGGCAGGTGAACATCCCCCAAGGGGTGCCAGCCAGACTGTGAGAGGGCACAGGCCGGGCTAAGGGACCCCCTTCTCCTCCCCAGTGCACGAATGTCATGTACTGAGCCTGTAGTACCAAGATAAGGCTGATGTTGGCTGATGCCAGTGTGATGTAGTAGAAATGATACAAGATAGTTGGCTTCTGGATATATTTTGAAGATAGCAACAAAAGGATTTCCTGACAAACTGGAAATGGGTTATGACAGAAAGGAATCAATAATGAACTAAAAGATATTAGAATGAGATATTGGAAGAAAAAAGTTGTCATCAATTGAAATGGGGAAGACTGTATCAGAGGACTTCCCTTTAGGGCCTGGAGGTTTGAAATTTATATTAAGACATTCAAGTGGAGAAGATAAGTAAGCAGCTGAATATATCAACCTGGAATTCAGGGAATAGGTTTAAAATGGAGATATAAATTAGAGATATCAAACTGATAGTGCATATGGATGATACTTAAAAACTATGACACTGGATAAGATCACCACTGAATTTAGTAGCGTGATTACTTGTGATACTGACAAGAGCACTAGCAGCTATCTGCTTAGACTGGGCTCAAGAGAAATGAGGGGGAAAAAAAAAGGAATTAGAAACAACAAATATAGACAATTCTTTGGGGAAAGTTTTGTTATCAAGGGGACTAGAGAAATAAAGTGATTTCTGAAAGGAGAGATGGGATCAAGAGAAAAATGGAAGCAATAACATCATGTTTGAATATTTGTGCAGGAAAATATTGATAATGCAGGAAAGACAGGGAAGAGTGAAGTCCTTGAATAGGCCAGAAGGGATACGGAATGTTATCAGAAATTGAACAGGATATGTTGAGCAGTAATTTTCAAGTGGTGTACTGCAAGAATTTTTAAAACATGCAATACCTAACTTATTTAGTCAGGGGCACTGACATCTTAGATTACCAAATAAGAAAATGACAGCAGCCCGGCTTGTGTGGCTCAGTGATTGAGTGTCAGCCCATGAACCAGGAGGTCATGGTTCGATTCCAGTCAGGGAATATGCTCAGATTGTGGGCTTGATTCCCAGTGTGAGGATTGCAGGAGGCTGCAGATCAATTATTCTGATTGTTGATGTTTCTATTTATCTCTCCCCCTTCCTTCCTCTTTGGAATCAAACAACAAATAAATAAATAAATATATATATATATCAATATATCAATATATATATATATTTTTAAATGACAATAGCCAACACAACAATAGCCATCCAGTGTGAATGTCCCGTCTTGAACCATAAATATATAGGTCATATGAGTTACATTTTATTGGTTATGTCCACATAATATGGTTGTGTCTGATTGGTTAATTCTTGGTATCAGAAATCCTTATATACAAGTATAGGCACCTGATTCTTTAAAAAGTCACTTTGAACCATAAAAGGTAGGTAATTACTATTATTATTTATTTCTATAAATCAAAATTATACCTTATTTTTGTTAGATTGGCCAAAAATATTTTTTGTGTGTGTGCTGCAGAATTTTGGCAATTAGTTTATATGTTCCATAAGATGAAAAAAGTTGAAAATCACTGAAAAAAGTAAGTAAACAAACACCAAGTTGGGAGCTTGTGAAAATTCTCTTGAGATTGCCTTTATTTTCTATTTCAGAAAATAGAAAGTGAGAATGAGAAAGTGGAAATGGGAGAAAGGTGTTTAAAGGTCTGAAGAGAAAATAGTCATTTAGGAGAATATACTATGACT